CAGCACGAGCAGCAGCAGCAGCAGCACCCGCACCAGCAGCACCAGCCACCAGCCACCAGCCAGCAGCCAGCAGCCAGCAGCCAGCAGCCAGCAGCCAGCAGCCAGCAGCCAGCAGCCAGCAGCAGCAGCAGCAGCAGCAGCAGCAGCAGCAGCAGCACTAGCCGTTGTCTTTATAAACCCCGCATGCCCCCAACCGCTGGACCATCGTCCCCCCAGAAACAACAACCTGAATTAAAGGGTCTTGTCAAGCAAGCCATGCTTGTTCATTGTAAAACGTCGAACTCGAGCCCATTTTGGATTGTCGTCCCTGGATGGGTGATTTCCAAACCTCTTCTAAAAGGCAATACATTTGGGAGAGCGGAGCTGGCGGATCCTTCACCGTCCAGAAGGACACAGAGCTTGTCCATGGAGAGATCAAGCGTGGCATCACGGACGCAAACAAGACCCTTGACAGTTTGAAATCGTAATGCTTAAGGTGTGCCGCATTTGTGGTTGGGTGGGTGGCCGCCTAGGCACCAAGATCATCTGCTACCTCAAGGAGGACCAGTCGGAGTTCTTGGAGGAGCGACGCCTGAAAGACTTGGTCAAGAAGCACTCCGAGTTCATTGGCTTCCCTATCGAGTTGTACGTGGAAAAGTCCAAGGAGAAGGAGGTGACGGATTCTGAGGAAGAGGAGCGTTTTGCGGAGTGCAGACATGCATGTTCAGCTTTTCTGCAAATCTGACTAAATTTCGTTGATCTGGCGTGTGCTTCCTTCATATCTTGAAGGAGGAGGAGAAGAAAGATGAAAAGGAAGGCCTTCGGGTTGAGATGAGGAGTATGGGGATCACGTCAAGATTTCCTAGGGCCTTTGGGGGGAAGAACGAGGTCCTAATCAGTTGTCTCTTGGCACCCGTTCAGGCGACGAGCCCAAGATCGAGGAGGCAGTATTTTTGATTTTGCTGTGTTTCGCTTGATGTGGGGATCTTCTGCATGACGAGCATTTTGTTGGGAGCATTTGAGCATTTTGGCAATGTTTGGTTCCGAAGTTCAAATGTCTAAGTTGGAGTCGGTGTCAATCTCTCGTTGGAGCAACCCATTACAGCTCCTGACACTCACACTCAAGGCTTGATTCTGGAAAGCGGGGGCCAAACAGAAAAGCTCTAGGTTGATGAAGAGAAGGAGAAGGAGGAGAAGAAAAAGAAGACCAAGCAGCTTGGCAACCGCATCATTCCATGAGCCGCCAGCTACCCTCCGGGCTCAGCTGAGCAGTCGGCGAGAAATGTTCGCTTGTCACCGAGGAAGGTCAAGGAAGTCTCGCACGAGTGGGAGCAGCTGAACAAGCGCCCAGCCCATATCTGGATGTGTTCTTCAATTTTCTGTCTCGCCTTCAGGCTGGTTTAAAGAAGAGCCCTTTGAGCTTCCAAGGAACAAGCCGCTTTGGATGCGCAAGTCCGAGGCGGGATACCTTTGTTTTCGTTACCCGAAGGGTTTGATGACAATGCCTGAGTAAAATGATATGCATCGCTGCGGAAGGATGTGACCAACGAGGAGTATGCCTCCTTCTACAAGTCGCTGTCCAACGACTGGGAGGTGTGGTCGGCAAGTGTGCGCACGTTCCAAGTTGCACTCTCATTGTGTTAGTTCGATTCGAAGGACCACCTTGCTGTGAAGCACTTCAGCATCGAGGGTCAGCTGGAGTTCCGTGCGCTGCTGTTTGTGCCGCGCCGGGCACCTTTCGATCTTTTCGAGACCAAGAAGAAGAGGAACAACATCAAGCTTTACGTTCGTAGGGTCTTCATCATGGATGACTGCGAGGAGCTCATGCCCGAGTGGCTGAATTTTGTGAAGGGCGTTGTGGACTCAGAGGATTTGCCTTTGAACATCTCTCGCGAGACCCTGCAGCAGAACAAGATCCTGCGTGTCATCAAGAAGAACCTGGTCAAGAAGTGCTTGGAAATGTTTGCAGAGATCGCAGAGAAGAAGGACGACTACAAGAGACTTGTCTGAACCGTCTGCGTTGTTGTTGCTGCTTCCGGGAGCCTTTCCCTTAGCCTCTTACTAAGGAAGTTCTATGAGCAGTTCGGCAAGTGCTTGAAGTTGGGTGTCCACGAGGACTCCACCAATCGCACCAAGGTCGCGGAACTGCTGCGCTACCACACCTCCAAGTCGGGTGACGAGCAGATCAGCCTGAAGGAGTACGTGGATCGTATGAAGGAGGGCCAGAACGACATCTTTTACATCACGGGTGAGAGCATTGCAGCCGTGTCTTCTTCACCCTTCCTGGAGACACTCCGAAAGAAAGGCATCGAGGTGCTTTACATGATCGACCCCATCGACGAGTATTCAGTGCAGCAGCTGAAGGAGTTTGATGGGAAGAAGCTCAAGTCCACCACTAAGGCCTGCGGCTTAAGGGAGTGCTGTTCCACAGTGTCATTCCGTGGCCCGCTACAAAGACACAGAAACAATCAAGCTCGGTCCACATTTAAGGAAGGTTTGGACATCGAGGACGAGGATGAGAAGATGCTGGGGCGAGAAGATCACATTTCTAAGGTTTCAGGGGTTAAAGATTCAACTGGCTATGGATCTGCAAGCACAAGAAATCCTTTTCTCCGTTTCCGGGTTTCCCAACAAGGAAGAAGCTGGAAGAGATGAAGGCTGAGTTCGAGCCTCTCACAAAGTTGATGAAGGAGGCAGCGGGATCCGGGATCCAGCATTTTTTCTGCGGACGATCATTCGTTTGTGGGTTCAATGCTTCACCTGCTAAACCCCCTAGGCCGTGAGTGTATCACATCCGCATTCGACCCTGCACTGAACACCAATGTGCCAATGGGTGCATCGCCCTGCACAGGTCCTGGGAGACAAGGCCGCTTGGAACTCTGCTTAAGACTGGCTGGGATTCACCCCCTTGTCTTTCATAGTCTTACTTTCGGTTTTACTCCAAGCGTTTACTTCCACTTCACTCTTCCGGGGCAGACAAGGTAGAGAAAGTCATTGTGAGCTCCCGCATGGCCGATTCACCCTGCGTCCTGACAACATCAGAGTACGGATGGTCTGCCAACATGGAGCGCATCTTGGCACCGTTTGGAGCAGCTTGTTGCCTGCATGTTGGGAGGCCCTCGTCCTGTTTTTTGTCTGTCTCCCTGTCTCTGTCTCTCTTCCTCCGTCATAGTCTCTATCTCGCTCTCTCTCGCTCTCTCTCTCTCTCTCTCTCTCTCTCTCTCTTTCGTTCTTTCTTTCTTTCTTTCTTTCTTTCTTTCTTTCTTTCTTTCTTTCTCTCTCTCCCTCTCTCCCTCCGTGTCTCTGTCTCTCTCTCTCTCTTTCTCTCTCTCTCTCTCTCTCTCTCTCTCTCTCTCTCGCTCGCTCTCTCGCTGTCTCTCCCGCGCCTTCTCTCCGAACTTCAACTGAGGCATCATGAAGGCC